TTGTGGGGGTCTATTCGTAAAGGGAGGATTTCACTTTTGGTGAAGTTCACTTTAAAGTTGGACACTACTTGGTATTGCTCTAACTCTTCCACTAAGGGGCCCATGGATGTGGTTGGGTCCATTATCGTGAATAACAGGTCATCTGCAAAAGCAGAAGCCTTAAATTCTTGGTTGTTTATATGGAAACCGTGTATGTCAGGGTTGTCTCTTACTCCTTGTAGGAACGGTTCTAGGATTAGTATGAAGAGTAATGGGGACAAGGGGCACCCCTGTCTTGTTCCATTGTATATTCGCACAGGTGGTGAAAGTTGGCCATTAATTCAATTTTAGCGATTGGGTTTGAATATATAGATTGGATCCACCGGATCCAATTTGGGCCGAGGCCCAACGCTGTCAGTGTGGCTAGGAGGAAAGCCCAATCCACTCGGTCAAATGCTTTTTCGGCATCGACCGAGAAGATGACGCTTTGCTTGGGGGTGTGTTGAGAAAAATGGATCAGGTTAAGTATTTTATTGGTGTTATGTTTAGCCTCCCTGTTTGGGACGAATCCTGATTGGTCTGGGTGTATGAGAAGTTGAAGGAGAGGACGTAGCCTGTTTGCTAAGATTTTTGTAAAAATCTTTAGGTCGATATTGATAAGGGATATGGGGCGGTAGCTTCCACAGTCGGTGGGATCTTTACCGGGTTTGGGGATTAGGGTAATGTGGGCTTCCAATGCTGAGCCAGGCAGAGTGGTGTGTGTTGTTAGAGCATTGAATGCCGTTGTGAAGGGTACGCTCAGTGTGGATGCAAATAGCTTGTAGTATTTAGCTGTGAAGCCATCTGGTCCTGGACTCTTGCCCACTGGTAGATGCCTTACCGCTGCACTAAACTCGTCTGAAGTGATGGGTGCTTCCAAGGATTTAGCGTCTACAGTAGGTATCGTACGCTTTATTCTGGACAATAGGAAGTTATCTATTACTTCTTTGGGCGGTGATTTGTCCGACAGATGGTATAACGTTGAATAGTAATCGTGAAAGGCTTTTGTGATATCTGGTAGCATGGTGGTTAGTGTACCTGATGGTGTCTTTATATGGGATATGAATGTGTTTTGTCTTTTTTTCTTGAGTGCGTTAGCTAGGAGGCGGCCACATTTCCCCCCCTGTGTGTAGAAGGAGTGTCTGGTGAGTAATAATTTCCTCTTAACTGAGGCATTCAGGAGCTGTTGTAGTTTCGTGCGTCTGTCTGTCAGCTGTATGTAGAGGTCTATCGTATTATTGGTTTTGTGGGCAGTCTCTAAAAGCCGTATTTCTTGTGTAAGTGTTTTAATTCTGAGTTCCCTGAGCTTTTTCTGCTTGGAGGCCAGTGCAATTATTTCGCCTCTTAGTACACACTTGTGTGCTTCCCATATTATTGTAGGGGACATATTCGGGTCATTGTTATCTAAAAAATAGTTTGTAAGTGTATCCCTTATTCTATTGGTGATTGTGGCGTCATTGAGTAATAAGTCATTTAGCTTCCAATGGAAAGATGTAAGTGGTAAGGAGGGGATCTGAATCTCCAGCGTTAAGGGCGCATGGTCCGACCATGTGATGGGACCATAACTACTTTTTTGTATGAGGTGTAAGAATCTGTGTGGCATGAAGAGCATATCTATCCTCGAGTAGGAGCCCGTTGTGGGGGAGTAGAAGGAGAAGTCTCTGGATGTCGGGTGCAGTGTCCTCCAACAGTCATATAGTTGGGCGTCGTCTAGGAGTTTTTGAATCTGGCGTCGTGTATGGGTTTGGTAGGTCTTTATTTGTGAAGTCGTGTCAAGGGTGGAGTCTAGGGAGACATTTACATCACCCCCTGCTACCAATATTCCTTCTGTGAAATTTTCTATTCTACGTAGATATTTCCTGAGTGGGTTCCCTTGTTTCCTATTGGGTAAGTATAAGTTCGCGAAGGTTACCATATTGGAGCCTATTTGTCCCTTTACCATAAGTAGTCTCCCACTGTCGTCTGCCTCATGAGAATGATACGTAAAGGGAAGTTTTGCCGATATCAGTATCGCCACCCCTCTAGACTTAGCCTGTGTGTAGTCACTGAAGAAGCCATGGGGGTACCTATTGTCTCTGAGGGAGGGGGCGTTATGTTTCCTAAAGTGGGTTTCCTGAAGGAAGGCCACATCGGCTCTGAGCCGATGTAGCTCCATCAGGGTTTGTGTGCGCTTCTCCGGTATATTTAGTCCTCTTACATTGATCGTACATATCCGTATCTGCTGTGCAGGTGTGGCAGTCGCTGGTGTCTGTGCCATTGCTTTCAGTGGTCGTATAGTAGTCAGCGGTAACTATGTCGTGTAACAATTTCAGTAATATATAACAACAAATGTGAGTATGAAATAGAGAGAAAAGCAAAAAGAACAATAACTATATACAGTTGCGATAATAACGTACTAGGTTTGGTAGTATTAAGTCAGTCGACGGTGTCTGACCCAGTCTAGGGGGGCCTATCTAGATGGGGTCCTTTTTGGCACCGCACAGTCAGTGGTTACTTGACTGTTGTCAGATGTTGGTCTGATACTTCTGGGGCATGTATAGCCGTCTCTTAAATAGGCTATTTACCCGTCCGGTGGGGATGGACAGATGGGGGGGGGGTTTCAGTCGCTAAGGTTCCGAGTCCGGGAAAGGCCTCATCCACTCTATATTTGTTTTTGTCGCTAGTGGGCTTACGTATGCAAGGTAATATACATAATCAGTATCTGGGACAGTGTCAGTAGCACCAGAAGTAGGCATTTAGCTGCTAAAACATATCAACAGTCATATAACAGAAAATTCACATAAGTCATTAACATTCCCCAGGAGATTTTTTTTTTTTTTTTTTCTCAGTGTCTCTTTACTCCCTATGTGGCTAGCTCATGCGAGCATGATGGAGAGTTTTGAGATTCACAGGTAGCAGTAAGGTGGGGTATACATATGACCTTTCTATTAGAAAGTGATTAAAAGTAAAAGTATAAGTATCTAGCCCATAGCGTCTAATCGGTCAGGTGGCGTCGGGGACACGGGCACCCAGCCGGATGGCCGCCTCCCCAAGACCCCATCATTCCTACAGAGATGTAATTCACGTGGCCATATGGGTGTTGCTGTTACTATGGCCCCTGGGCTTTAGCTAATGTCATCAGTGCATATGCATATTGAAAATACTTGCGGTTGTCGAACCTTACTATTTGAGAGATGGGATATAAGTATCCAGCCCAGAGCGTATAACCGGTCAGGCGGCGTCGGGGACACGGGCACCCAGCCGGGTGGCCGCCTCCCCAAGACCCCATCATTCCTACAGAGCTGTCATTCATGTGGCCATATGGGTGTTGTAGTTGCTATGGCCTCTGGGCTTTAGCTAGTGTCATCAGTGCATATACATATTAAAAATACTTGCGGTTGTAGACTGAGTTCGGTAGCGTTAGGGGCGCGGATCCCCGTAGGGAAAGAGGGGAGCCGCCCTCCCAAGGCCCCGCTACCCGTAGTAGTCCAATTGCTCACTGGGGTGAGGAGCGTGAGGAGTATTTGCAGCAAAAATGCTAGCGGTCTTCTGAAGTTACTGTTTGTTCATGTTGTGCGTTTGTTTGGGAGCGTGGAAATCAGTACATATCTGTGTGGGCTCCCCTTGGCGTGGATGCCCTGGAGAGTGCTTGTTCTGGCCTCCGTCTTTTCGGCGTTTGTTGCCATCTCGTGCGTTGTTGTAGTGGTTCCCTCTGCATTGGTTGTGGCAGTCCATACCAGTCGGGTACTCTTGTATCCGGTAAGTCCAGTGCTTGTAAAAAGACGGGGACATCATGAGTGGAGTTGATGGTAAATACTTTGCCTTGGTGGTTAACACTTAGCGCCAGGGGGAACCCCCATCGGTACCTGATGTTGCGTTGGCGTAGGATGTCTGTTATAGGTTTGAGAGTCCGTCTTGCCTGCAGCGTCAGCCAGGATAGGTCAGGGTAGATCGAGATTGGAGCATCTTTATATAGTAGAGGCTGGGAGGCTTGTCTTAGTGCTTTGAGTATGTCATCCTTTTGGGAGTAATAGTGAAGACGGCAGATTACGTCTCTTGGCTTGTCCGCTGGTGCACCTCTGGGGCGCAACGCTCTATGTGCCCTATCAAACATGAGTGGTGTATCGGCTTGTTTTCCCATGAGGAGATTAAATATTTCTTGCAGTACCTCTGTTAGATTTTCTGTGTCCTGTTCAGGTAGCCCTTTTAATCTGAGATTATTTCGTCTACCTCTGTTATCCAAATCATCTAATGAGCGCTGTATAGCAAACGCCTGTGCAGAATGTGCTTCCATAACAGATTGCAAGTGTGACACTTGGAGTTGTATTGCATCCCTGTCGTCCTCCAGTGCACTCACTCTATCTTTAGTATGCCTTATATCAGCTCCCACACTTTCCAGTTTAGACTGAAATGCAGCTTCTAGTTTCCCCAGCATATTGGCTATGTCCTGCTTAGATGGTAAATTTTGTAGTATACCTTTCAGGTCTGGGTCTTGTAGTACCAGGGAGCCTGTAGATTCAGCTGGGCTAGAGGGAGGGGATGTAGTGCCTGGCGAGTCCGGCGCCATATTGGGGCCTACCATGCTTTCGTGAGCCTCCTTGGAATCCCTGAAATATTTCGTCAGGGCTCCGGTTTTTGCTGCCACTGACCTCCCTGTCGTTCTCTGGGATGAGGGCGTGCGTTTGGGGTGTCCCATGTTGAAATGATAGCCCGATGTCCGCGGATTGAGTGCCTTTCTCGCCGGAGCTCTGCTACTGTGCTGCCATTCCGGTCGGCAGTTGGCTCCGCCCTCCGAAACAAATAAATCTATGAACAGCAAACAGATACAAACTGATCAACAAAACACTGGTATTTTGGTTGCTAAAAATGAAAACTGATTAAAACCAATAGATCAATCAGGTCAGTACTTTGCATTTAGGAAGGGACAGACACAATGCAACAGGCAACATATTTATTAATATAGATATATATATACATATATAAAAACAAGTTTTAAAATTTTACTACAAATAAAAGCTTAAGAAACAGGATCATTTCAGTATATACATCTAGAATATTTCATTTATATAACATGCATGTTGTGTATTTTATCATTCAGTATTGGTTGTAAGTTAAAATCTCAGCAAGAGATCTTACATGTTTGTTTAAAGTTCAGGTACTATTATTACATCCTTCATAATATAAAATAATAAAAAGATGCCTGCTGCATTTAAACTAAAAATAACTGCTAACAAAGGTTATCTTGCAGTGAATCTTGAGATGCAATGTGTACTGCACAGACCATAAAGACCTGCTCCTGAGATGAACGGATATAAGATTTGAATCGTAACTTCACATTGCTCAGAATTTTAAGTCTGTGTTTTGTAGTCGCTGCAAAACAAGGCTTAGTAAAGCCATGCTGAAGAAGCTAGCATGAAAATAAAAATAATACTTTGACACATTATTTCACATATATGCCCCATACCTGGTAACACTAATCATGTACCTGAGCAATGCAGTCACTATAGAGACTGCACTGGAAAATCCTCTCTTTATGATTTACATGTATTTAACTACTGTGATCTTTATAAAGCAGGACGAGTACCTTACATATAAAGCACAGCAGTATATGAAATACTCATGTTACAGTTATCATGCAGACTGAAGAGGTAGAGGGAGATGTAAATTTATCGCAGTACATATCCTGACTGATCGCAATCTTGGTGTTTACAGTTCCGCGTTTCTGAATGCAACAACTTAGCACCTACTTCACATCTATATCTTCTTGCTCCTCCTTTGAATATAAAACATTAAGCAAAATCAATAGGCGACCATGATTTATACAAATTAACAACTGTGCAAAAAGATTAGGAAAATTTACAAAATAATCAGTTTAAAAAAATAAAAACAAAATGGACATATTTATCCAGATGGCAGTAATTAGCAGCACATTTGTAGAGAAATCTGGACTGTGTTGAAAAGTATGATCCTTTAAAAAGCTATGATAAAATCTAATATTTCTTACTAAAAAGTACAAAGATCTATTACAAGATTTTAAGGGCATGTCGCATTCCTAAATGGAAGCTTATAAATTAACGATTAAAGACTCAAACTCTAGTAACACTTATCAGAGCATAATTCTTTTACACTGGTTTCAGTATAACAGAGGTAAATTCATGCCAATCCATAGTCATCGTGACACTACTGAGCTGATTGAATTATAGGAAGTGCCGCTGTTACAGCTTCCTGCATACGCTTCTTGTCCATGGACATCCAGATGCACCTTAAATATGTTGGATGCCTTGAGTAAGAAATCTGCTGCATCTCTGCGCCCAAGTTCCCTCAGTTTTGACATTAAAACAGCAACAGTACTTTCAGAAGAGTTACTCCATTCTTGCAAAACAGCACAAACTGGGCTTGGAAGAAAATCTTTTTGTGTTGTATTGCTATTCGTGTTGTATTTGGCAACTAAATCCAGCAAGCCCAGGTTCATCGCAAGAAGACACCAGTCTTTGCCCATGGGGTCTGGAGGATCTAAAAGTCTGCTGAGTTTTCGTCTTGTTAGAACATTCAGATCTGAAATGTGATGGTCCATTCCTAAATTTCCTTGAGCGTAAATGTCCAGACAGCCAAAGCACAATATGCTGCTAAAACTTTCCTTGTATCCAGCCATTGTGTTTGCCAAATATGTTTCTTTTTGACCCTGAGCTCGTAAGAAATCTCTAGGTTGGTAAACCATCACTGGTTCATGGTGTTCCCTTAATTGTTGAGGGCTTAAGTAATGTTTTACAGTTAAAAGTCCAGGCAATGTTGTGGAAAATAAGTTGTCAATGATACTGCAAATAGAATCTTGAAGTAAGCAACATTTTATTTTCTCGGTTTCCATGCCTCTCACTTGTACTTCAATACCTTGACCATGGTTGACCAGCAACACCAAAACTTCAGCCCCTCGGTTTGCAATTTTGCACCCATTTACCCAAAGGCGTATGTCTGCATCACCATCAGCACTCTGTTGATGTGTCCATCGGCACAGATTGACTTGGACTTTGTGAAATATTCCAGAAGGGAAAGGAGTAAGATGTTCCACAGGAACAATTCTAACTCCTCCATAAATCATAATGTCCTCTTCTTCATCTGTCCATGATCTGTGAAGGCTGTCTGTTTTTATGAGAGCAGGGATGTCTACCATTGATCCGCTGCTAAGATCTCTGGCACATATGTCCATTGCATCCAAAATCTGCACAAGTTCCTCAACATCACTATCAGAGACCAGACGTTGAATATCCTCCATGGTGTATCTACCTCGATAATGATGTAGGGCTTTCGGGTTCTCCACAGACAGAAGTTTTCCAAGGACATTGCAACACAGCCATCGTGGATCTAAAAGCACCACATCTTGAACGGTCTCACTCTGCATTACGTTGACCTATGCAATTAATGTACAAATAAAAGAGAACATATTACATTAGATGTAATATGCAGACATACTGTGCAATTAGAGCACACATTATTTCAGGTTAATGGCTTAAATTTTTAGCAGCATGTTACAAATATGCCAAATGATATTACTACTAGAAGAGATGGCATTCACTAACCCAGCTATTCACACTGCTGATCTTACTGATTTCATAACCTACTGCAGTGCAAAGGACACGTATATCCCTGAGAGACGCATAAGAATTGATATTTTTACTGCAGTTTCCAGAAGTCATGGAGAAAGTATTAACAGCTCCTAATCAGAGGCTGCATCAGGATTATTTTACTTGCTCATGGTATCTAGAGAATAGTCATACTCCAGCTGGGTAATACTCATTAACATCTTAGGGCCTCAACATAGATTTTCAACATACCTGCCAGTAGTTTGGAGATACATGAGATCCCTTGAGGTGTAACTGGGTTTGAGAGCTATTTAGCTATAGTTACTACTATAATTGTTTTTGTGAGTGACATATCTAATAAACAAGACTTCTATGACTATAAGGTTCTAGCAGTAGCAATGTATTGACAATGTATAATATATATTATTTTTACACATGTTTACTTCATAGAGGAGGGTCTGGAAATAGTGTTCTGGCAAAAACAGGTCAATATGGGATAATGTGAATTAATTCATTCTTACCTCTCCAATGCTGTGCAGTTGTTGTGCAATATTCCGTACATCGTCTTCACTCGCCAATGGGTTAAGCTGCTCCTGCACATCATAAACAAACTGCTGGAATGAGAGCAGCTGGTTGGGTCCATTTAGCTTTCTCCAAGATGGCAGAATGGAGATAATTTTCTCACACAAAGAGGTCATTGGAGGACAAGCCTAAAATAAATCAAATGACAATGCTCTGCAAAGGAATGGGAACCTGCTACAGCAACAATAAAAAAGGTAAACCAAAATTGTTAAAAAAACAAAAAAAAAACCCAGTTATGACTTCTGATAAAATAAAAATGCTCAAATTAAAAAAATAAATAAATAAAAAAAAGAAGAAGAAAACCAAAACAAAACTACACAAACAAACTGTCTCCCCATCATTTTTGACAACAGCAAAAGCTTTTGTATTTCACAGCCATGGTACATTTCTTCTACCTACTCCATGTGTGTCCTGTTAGGTATTAATACGCGTTAGTGGTTCATAATAATCCATCTTTCTGTCTCAGATATTTTGCCTTTTATCTGAAAGCAACAAGGTGAATTGTTAAAAGGATATAGAACATGAAAAAAGCAGGTAAGTAAGATTTTTTTTTTCATATTTACCGGCTTCTTTCCACACCCTGATCTAACCAACCCTGTGTCATATCCCTAGGAATGCTGAAAAACTGCACTGGGCATGCTTGAGAAAGAATTG